ACAGACCGATTACAAAATTTAAAAGCTGAAATGGAAAGTAAAGGGGTGGAATTTGTTGGGCCCATACTGTGGTCCGAATAAATTAGCATCAGTCCAAAGTAAGGGAATATCCGCTGGAGCTGAACATAATACTCCAAATATGTTGTCGATGAGGAGATCTAGGGTTCAAGGACTTTCTTCTCACGAGGAGGCCAAGGATGCGCAACAGAGGGGGCTCTACGTTGTTCTCCTTTGCGCGGATGGCCTGAGAATGGCTCAGCCGGTGTCTCTAAAAAAGGTAACGCCGTCCTTGTCTTCAAAGTAAGCTTTCTTCGCCTGAGTTGGTAACGTATTTTCTGTGAACCATGTCAGTGACGTAGATCTAAGAGCCGCTTTGGCTAGAAAGTGAGCGACGTGGTTGGTTTGCCGATGCCGGAAGGAGATGGAGAGCTTGTGGACCATTTTGAGTGTATTTATCTGTGCAACCGTCTCGGCTAGGTACCCAGGTGTGGTTTCGAGCCCTAGAATGAGTTTGACACTCGTTTCGCAGTCTGTGTATATTTGGAATTTTGAGAAACCTTTTCTTGTGAGTGTTTTTATTGATGTCTGTAGTGTCAGGATCTCAGCGTGAAGGGCATTGGTTTCCCTTTGTGGGAAGGCAAACACAGTTTTCATTTGGCCAGATGAGTCCCTAAGAATTGCTCCTCCGCTACTTAAGGTCCTCAGGAATGAGGCGTCGGTGTTCAGAGAGAGGTCAGTTGGTAATTCTGACTTCCACCTATGTCTTTGAGTATTTGGTTTTCCTTTGTGTAGCATAGGCATGATCCCATCTGCGTAAAGCTCTTCATCAAATTGAACATGTTTTCTGTGTTTGTTACTGTACACCCATTTACGGGTGAAGTCTTTGATGTCTCGTATTGTTAGGTTTTTTGAGAAAACCTTATTATCCCATAAGCACGAGTTATAAGCTTTCTAGATGTGCCACAGAATGATGTCGGGCATAGCCTGCCTCAAGATGTTTTTGATGTTTCCAGATTTACCCCCCATCCACCAAAGGAATAGAGTCTGTCGTAGGTCCTGGTGTGCTGTTTTCCTAACCTGCAAAATAGAGGAAAAGCAATCCCAAATGGGCTTAATGTTAGGACAACTAAAAAGGGAGTGGTTTTGGGTGTCTTGGTTGTTTAGGCAGAAGGTACATCTAGTGGCAGATTAGATTTGGAATCGTTTTTGGTTGTCGGGAAATGGTAGAGAGAGGTTTAGTAATTTCCAAATGAAAATTTTGATTTTGAGAGGTAGTAAGGGTGACCAAGTTTGGGTGAGGCTAAAGGTGGTTGGTTTTTTCTTGCAGGTTAGATGATAGGCGCTGGTGAGGGTGAAATGTCCGTCTCTTTCAGGGGTCCAAACAATAGGATTTTCACCTTGGTTGATAGCTTGGGGGTATTTTCTGGCTGTGATACAAAGTTGTTTCCAGACACATGAGTCTTTTTTATAGGATTACATGGATCCAAGTCTGTGATACCTGGAGTGCATGTAATTTGCCCAAATGCACTTGTTTTCAGAGAAAGTCCACCATGTTTTAACTTGCATAGGCTGTTGTATGTCATAGATAGATCTGATGCCTAACCCACCCTCTGGACCTGGTCCGCATATGAATTTCCAGGATTTCCAATGGTACTTAGGTTTATTACCCATAGCGCCCCAGAAAAAATTAGCCATTAGAGTGTGTAGCATCTTTATGACCTTGACGGGAAATTGTTTAATTGCAAGATGATGCATAGGAATGGAAGATAGAACGTGTTTGATGAGAATCAAACGCCCACTTTAACTCAATTGCTTTTTGTTCCAGGTATGGAGTCTTGATTCAAAAGATTTGATTAACTTCATACAGTGTTCCACTCTTGTTATTCCTTTATGAAGCACTACACCAAGGTAAGCCATTGGTAGAGTAGAAGTACTCATTCCAGTAACGTCTTGCATTTTATTCTTTCTTGTAACTGGCAGGTTCTTAGTGGTTAAAATGGTGCTTTGGTCGAGGTTGATGAGCTGCCCAGTTGCATCGGTGAAGAGCTCCAGGAAGTCTTTAAGGCTGTGAAGTGATGAGGTTGAGCCATTGAGGAAGAGTAGAATATCATTTGCATAACCCAACTGTGAAACCGGGCACGGCAGACCACCAATTAGATAGGGCATAATTTTTTTATTTGTGATCAGCCCCTGTAAACCTCTTGTAAAGCATTCCATAACTAGAAGAAACAGGTACGGGGATAGGGGGTCTCCTTGCTTGACCCCCCTCTGTGGCTGGAAATAGCCATGGGGCTGCCCATTTAGCAGGACGGAGATGTGATTCGAGGCTAGGTTGGAGATGATAAGCTAGACTACCAGTTTGTCAAAGCCTAATCGTTGTAAAATAGCCTCCTTGAGTTCTCACGACACTCTGTCAAAGGCTTGGGCTAGGTCCAGCTTGATGGCAATGTTTCCCCCCGGACCTTGTTGTCCAGGTGGTGGAGGACTTCTGAGGCCATGAGAATATGATTATGAATGTCCTCCCCTTCCATAAAGCCGATCTGTTCTTTAGAAATGATTTTAGGTAGCAACGGCTTTAGCCTATTAGCCAAAATCTTTGTTTCAACCGTGTTGACAAAGTTCGTTAGGCTGATCGGCCTGAACTGTGAGAAGCTTTGGGGATTCTGAACTTTGGGGATTAGGGTGATGGTTGAGCATGTTAGAGCTATAGGCATTGGGTTTCCGAGAAAGAAATCTGCCACAGCTAAGAATATGTCATGTTCAATAATATCCCAGGTCTGTCTAAAAAACTCCCCATTAAAGCCATCCGGACCTGGGCAACTGTCTTTGTTTAAAGACCACACTGTTTCCTTAATCTCCTGAATTGGAGGGATTTTGGTTAAAAAATAGTTCTCTTCGGGTGTAATAACCGGGGAAAGGTAGCCCAGCAGTGGTTCTGTATCACCTTGCTGGTTTGGGAGATTGGTGTAGAGGTTTCGAAAGTGGCTTACCGCAGTGGTGGCTATAGAAATAGGCTCGTGCAGTGTGTTACCATCCTCATCCGTGATGGATAGGATACTCTGCCTTCCCTGTCTGTGTTTAACATAATTGTGGTAGAATTTTGTGTTTGCATCCCCTTCAGATAACCATTTAAGGTTAGCCCTCTGTTTCCAGTAGATTTCCTCTTGCCTAAGCTTTAGTAAGAGTAGGGCCTGAGCCTCGAGCAATGTAGATCTTGCCTCTGCAGTTGGTTGGTTGACGTAGGCGTCTTCCGCAATCTGGGCCTTGTTTTCCGCCGTTTTAACTTCTGCAAAAATGTCCCCAAAGCTGTTTTTGTTCCATTTTTTAAAGCCCATTTGGTGGCCCTTAATTTAGTATAGAGACAACGCATCCCCCCAACCGTTGGAACCGAGGTCCAGCTATTGTTGACCACCTCGAGGAAGGAGTGGTGAGTGGGCCACATGTTCTGGAATCGGAACTGTTTCGGCCCAGATCGGGCGTTTGAACCAGCCTCAATGAGGAGTGGCGTATGATCAGATGAGGTCCTGCCTAGATGCCTCTCAATGAGACTGTCAAATAGCACAGAGAATTGTGGATTCGCCAAGTATCTGTCTAGGCGCCGCCATAATCTACTTGTGCTCCTGACCCCGTCCAAGTGTGGGTTGGACTAGTGAAATGTAGTTCTTCGAGATCGCAGTAGGTAGTGCAATCAGTGAAGTCAGTAATTTCCGAGAGTTTAGGAACCTTTTTACCAATGTAGTCGTTAAGAGAGCCAATGATGTTGAAATCGCCCCCTACCAGCCATGGGTCTCCGTTAGTGGACTTCCAATTACGTAGACTTGACCAAAGTTCTTGTCTTGCGGATCTGGCGTGTTTGGCATAGACTGAGGAGTGCCAAAAAGCAAAGCCTGATTCATTCTCGGAGACAAAAACGTGTATGTATTGATCAAAAGCAGAAAGGTGGGTGACCTTGAAAACATCCTCTTTCCATAGTAGCCAAATTTTATTATCTGGTTTAACAAAAACATGAGTGAATCCCAGCCTGTTTTTGTAAAACTCCGCCTGATCTGGGGAAACTTGGGGTTCAATTATTGTAACGAAAGCGACCTTCCATTGAAGTAAAACACTTTGGAGTCTTCTTAGGGAGGTAAGAAGACCGCACACATTCCAATTGAGTAGAATCATTGAGAACGATCCTGAAGCCCCTTGGCTTCCTTGAGTTTTTGGGAACGGGTTTGAATGGGGCTGGAAACAGAGGGGGAAACATAAGCGGAAATTCTTTTAGAGGCTGTTCGCAGCAGGTCGTGCTCGCGGTTAGCCACTTTTCCAAGTTTTTTTGTGATTGTTGCCGAGAAGCTAGAAGGGATCAGGTTTGAGGAGAGGGGCTCGCTCGTCTCCAGTGGAGACGTTTCCATCTTCTAAGATGATTAGAGATGGAATGCCTCTATATGCATATATGCATATATGCGTAGATAAACTTACTTTCTAATGCCAATGTGCTTGCTTTTAAATTTGATTTATTCATCTTTACAATCACGTATTATGCATGTTTTTGCTGTTGCTTTTGTAACACCATCCCCAAATATATTTACTTTTAAGTGAATAATGTATTGAACCTTGTGGAATGGTTAATGAATTTAAGAAGTTGTGAATTTTTATTAATTCTTTCGCGTGAATAGTAAATTTGCACGTGGGACCCACACCGGGAGCAGGGACCACTCGATAATTCCAAAACCACATATTTTACTCATCTTGGTCTAGATAATATTCATATGGTGGTGGATACTTTATTTGGGCCATGGAAAGGCCTAGAGTTGACCGATTGGTCAGAAGAGGCCCAAATACCGGTATTGGTAATTTAACAGATAAAAGCCCGAAATTGGATTTCGGAGACTTATAAATTTAAGTTGGGGAATGTATATTCATTATAAAGTTCATAATGATTAAGAACACATAATATATTTTATTTGACCTGATAAAATAAAATTTATTTAAATCAGTCCAAAAATACAACTTCCGGGGCCAATTGTACACTTTGGGACAAATTAGGATGACCTCCCACATGGGTGGGGGCCACCCCACGAATTTAGCAACCAATGAGGGCTGATGGGATTCAAAAGTTGGCTGAAAGGGGTGAAGGGATAGGGGGGACATCTATGACATTCAAAGGGGCCCTTTTCTTCCACTCATTACCCAAAATGAGACAAAAGAAGTACCCCCACTCATCCCCTTCTCACCAGCTCGTCCATAACCAAATAAAGGAGGAAAAGAAGCTCTGAAACTTCATCTTCCATAGCCAAACTCGTGCCAAGCTCAAACAAGAAAGAAGAAAGAAGTTTAAGGGAGAAAAAGTTAGGAAAAGTGTGAAGAATAAGGTAATGACCTGATAATAATTTTTACTCTTTGTTTTTTACTATCATACGACTCATATAGCATATGAGGAACCCTTGTTATGGTTCTACATAGTTACATATGTAGAAAGATGGGTTGGAAAGTGATTCAAGTCCAAGAACAGACTTATAGTCAAAATTACCGTTTCGCCGGAAAATAACCTTTTAGAGGTTATTTGTATTGATTGAGGTTTTATGATGTTAAAACCTTGTTAGGAACTTGATTAAGGTATTTCAAGGTCTTTCACAAAGTTGAAAGAGTCGCTGGAGTTGTCGCCGGAGTTCGTCAAAAGTCGTTGGAGTTTTGCCGGAGTTCAACCAAGAGGGGTAAAACTTCATAGCGTTAATTCGAGGTGAGGATGACCGGCTATATTTGCTTATAATTATTGGGTTAATTTTATAAGATTAACTAAGTGAATTAAAAGTGATTTGCATGGATTATTAGTGATTATTAATGCCTAAGTGAAATTACTATTGTTTATAAATAGAGAAATGCATAATATACAAATTTATGAATAAATTGTGTATGATTATTTGTTATAAATGTGATGGCATGATGGTTGTTTTAACCATAAATATTATTGTGATTAATGTACTTTTACTTCATGTAAAGAAGTCATGAGAGGATAAAAATGACATTTTGATATTAAAGTCAAATTATACTTGGATGAGGAATTAAATTGAAAAGAACAAATGACTATGAATTAAGAATTTGGTTGTACTAAGGTCAAATGACTAGTATTGAAATACTAGTCGGAGATGTTAGTTCGAATGATTGTTGGAAATAATCCTAAGAGATTTAATTGTGATGAATACGCTCAAAATAGCCTTAAGAGATATTCTTAAGTGGGACTTTGTGAACTCTAAATTACATTAGGAGTAGGCCTTAAAGGTTACTCAAAATGAATGTAGTCTAGGTTACGAAGTTGACTAGAGATTAGATAACGTGACTATGATCCGAGCTCTAGCACAGTATAGTATGACTATGAGCCGAGCTCTAGCAAAATATAGTATGACTATGAGCCGAGCTCTAGCAAAATGTAGTATGACTTGAGCCGAGCTCTAGCACAATGTAGTATGACTATGAGCCGAGCTCTAGCACAATGTAGTATGACTATGAGCCGAGCTCTAGCAGTTAGTAGTATGACTATGAGCCGAGCTCTAGCATAATTGTAGTATGACTATGAGCCGAGCTCTAGTATTAAAGAACGTGGGTTAACTATAATACAATAACACCCTAGATTGAGTGTCTTGCAAATTGAAACATTGATTATACTTAGTATAATTGTCATTGTATTTTTCAAATGCTTTAAAGTACTGACCTCCCCTTCACGGGGGAGGCCACCTCACAATTTCTGGTAGAACTTGAAGGTTGCTACCACCGACGTTGCTTCGGGAAGATTTAGAGAAGAAGACTTGGTTCGTGCTTCTTCCGTTTCTATTTTAAAAACAATATGAATAATGTTCATGGATATTATTTTCTGAATATTGATTTTGGGGCTTGTATGCCCATGTTTGCCAAGTGTGGCTTGAACACTTGTAATGTTGTTTCCGCTGCTTTAAAGAATGATTTACATAATGCTTGTTTATGGATGTACTACGTGTGAATGATATTCCAGACGCCTTGTGTGGTATGAACATGTTGGACTGCGGTTGACTGTTCGTACTGTACGACGGGTTGTTGACGTGTCCGGCAAGTCCGGGGCATGACAATTTAAATGGTATCAGAGCCTTAGTCCGTAAACTTTATGATGAAGCTTCAAAATTCCTTTTTGAAAACAAATTTGAAAAAAAAAACCATGAACATAAAAAGTTTTGTACTTATAGAACTTTTGGTACTTGAGTTGCAAAGTCTCTAATTGTTAAGATGGTACCCTTAACAATTGGTATGACGGTGATTTGAGCCAAAGGATGTCCTTAAGTACCTATCTGTCATTTGACATTTGATACGGGTCTAATGGCTCATTCGAAATTTCTTTCATTAATGGAACCAGTTGGAAGGATCACTAAGAGGAACACGATGGGCCGTGCACCGGGCGGGTCCGTACGCGGCAGCCGGGGGTCCTCTAGGGGATCAAGAGGAAGAGGCCGTGGGGGCCAACGACGAACCGTGAGCGATGGTCACGTGGACACCGAGAGTGAAACCTACTGCTCCTATGAGGACTCGACTTATCAACCGGAAACTGAGCCGGTTGAGACCCCTTACGAAGGGGATGATAATGACGAGATGGGAACTAATAGTTTAGATTTACCCAGTGGTTTTAGATTAGAATTAAATAATTGTTATTTCATTCTTTCTATTACCAAGAAGATTATTTCCATTCATATGTTAGACATTAAAAGGTTTCTATTTCCATTTTGCTAATAATAATTGTTATTTTCATAAAATGGTGTTGTTGTAGAAATGCTTTTTTTTTATGAATGGTTGATTATCAAATATCAATAGACATATTAGATATTAAATGAATAAAAAGGTTTTTTATTAAATCATCAGAAAAATTATTACCTATCTATGACATTGCAAACTTGGTCAAATTAATGAAACAAGAATAGCAAGGTTAAATAAATTAGATTATTTAACACCATTTGGTTTTGAATCATATGAAAATTGTAATTCTTGTCTTTCAAGTAAATTGACCAATAAATCTTTTCTAGGAAATGGGATCGCAAGCCAAAGTGTACTTGAGTAAAAATTTCTGATTCATTTAAAAATGTCAAAGAATTCAATCATAGTGAATTTCTCTAGAACACCTCAGAAGTGTGGCGTTTCTGCAAGTAGAAATAGGACTTTGTTAGACATGGTTAGATCTATGATGAATTCATTTTCTCTTCCAAACATTCTTTTGAGGGTACACGCTATAAACCTCAATAATATAATATTCTGAATAGATTAATTAGTGCAAAATGTACTATATGAGTTATAGTATAATAAAAGACATGTTCTATTACATATTAAGTTTGGGTTGCCCTACATATGTAAAGAAATGTGCACTGATCAATTGAAAGGTAAAAGAGGACGAAAACTTGTTGGATGGTCAAAACAAGGATTCAGTGGGAGAATTGAGTGGAAGCATGTCTCTAGAAGGATGTCTTTCAGCTAGTGGGAGTAACACAGGAATCACCTCACACGAGCAAGTGATTCTTATTAAAGTAAGAGATGACATGGTTGTCATTCTTTCTGCACCCACTTCTCCTTCTCTGGAAACACTTTAGAGTGTAGCACCAGAAAACTCTCCGAGCATTGGATAGTCCAATGAAGGAGAACCTCTTCACAATCAGAATGAACAACCTGAACAAACGTGAAATATTCAACTCTGTAGGTCTACTAGGATTCGTCATGAATCAACTAGGTTTTCTCATGGAGGATGATGATGTGTAAATATTCCTGATAAGGATGAACCTAAGACCTACACTAAAGCAATATTAGATATTGATTTAGAGAGATGGCGAGAAAACATGAAATCTAAAATGGATTTGATGTATATCAATCAAGTATGGAACTTGGTTGACTTGCCTGATTGGGTTAGACCCATTGGATACAAACAAGTCCATTTGGATTTTGCTTGTGATAACTGCATTTTATGATTATGAGATTTGACAAATGGATATCAAAACCCCGTTCTTTAATAGAAACCTCACGGAGGAGGTGTACATGGTATACAAAAACCTTCAGGTTTTTGTTTCCAAGTCAAATTCTAAATCACTATGTTAATTAGAGAAATCCATTATGGGCTAAAACAAGCCTCTAGGAGTTGAAATATTAATTTTGATGAAATATTCAAATCGTTTGACCTCATCAAATGAAATGAGGGCCGGGTGCTTGCGTGTTTAGAGTGCGCAACAAGGATAGCATGGTGTTTATAATCATATATGTTGATCATAGAAAATGATATCTCCTCATGGAAGTCCGTGAAAGAATGGTTACCCAAAATCTTCATGAATATCCTTTTTCTTTATGGTGGACAGAAAGAACTAAGAGAATTTAATTATTCTAATACTAGATTCATGTATGATAAGAAAGACTACAAGTCACAGTCAGTATATATTTTTAGTCTCAATGTAGAATTAGTGCTGAAATAGTTGCAAGTAAGAAACTACTATAAATTCGACAACTGCAGCCTAGTAAATTGTTGCATTTGATGCAACTTAGGTAAACGTTTAGATACGTTAGTTCCTTAAAAAAAATAGGGGTAGTTCCTAGCGACAGTTATCCAGTAATTGTTATTGTGACTATACTGGTGCATTTGCACAAGCTAAGGAACCAAGATGCAAAGTAAGGAACTAGAAAATACTTGTGTGCTATCATGTTTTTGATAACAAATAGCAAGAGGAGAATTTGCAATAGAACGTCTTCCCGCAGAGGACAATTTGGCTGGCCCATTCACCAAACCTTTGAGATGTGAGAAACATACTAGACTTTAGAGAGTCTAGGTGTTAGATGCATTGGTGATTGGCACTAGGCCAAGTGGGAGATTGTTAGTATATATGTCCTAGCGACAATCACTTTTTAGAGATATATGTACTTGATCACATTCAGTTTTATATATTTGATATATATGGTATTACACATTGATGATTAAGTATTTCGATTGTCAATATCTTATTCATAATTGTGTTCCCTTGGACTTATGTTGTCAATAAGTAAGTGGGAGCTTATATGATATAACATAAAGTTCTAAAATAGCCCCAATCAATGATCATCAAGAAAGGGATATTGATGATATGCGATAAGATTGGTATGTGGACTGCATCATACTTTTAGAAAGTATAGTTGATCTCACAACTATGAGTTCCTGTAATTCATGATGGTCACATAGATATTTTAGAGAATATTGGCATACCCACCGAGAAACCATTTGATAAGTTCTATTCATGTGTTTATGGGATTATCGGCGTATAGAGTAGTGTAATAGTCCTCCGACTTGAGGTCAATACGTACTTCATGTGCGGAGTGATGTACTTTGACCATGACCAACGCTTGCACTCCAATCGGGGTAGATACGGCATGTGTTGGGTGCATCACGAAGCACAAGGAGTAGTAGTTGAGCCAAGAAAGCATTCATTCCTCATAATAGATTAAGAGAGAACATTCTACTTCTCATATCTAGATGGATCATAAAGTCATTGGCCAATGCAGAGATATATTCGTTTTGGATATCGAATATGATCGTTATGGATCATCTAGAAAGATTGAGAGACAGAAACTAAGTTATTGGAATAGACACATTATCATGTTCTAGACTTAGTTGAATGTTCGTTGAATGAAAGGACCGTATCACTATGAGCTCTATATTACAGGGAGTTTGAATAGTCCTCGCAAACGTCCTTATATATTAAGTTTGTCTGGTAAATCGTCTAGCGATTCTGCTAAGACCTTAATTTGATTAGTGCTTAATATATAAGGCCCTATGGGTCACACAACAAGTGATTATACCTTCCGATTGAATTGTTAGAAGCAACTAAATATTATTAATTGGATTAAATAATATTCAATTCGTAATACTGAAATTGGATTAAATATAAATTAGATTAAATATATTTAATTCATGAAGTTGAAGGAGATTTCTGTTTGATAGAAATAGTTGAGTAAAATAAATTAGATTTATTATACTTAATTTAGATGTATTTTTAATTAAATAAAGTTGGCATTTTCTTTTGTAATTTAGAATTAAAAAGAAAAACAAATTTAAATAATAATAAGTAGAGAAGAAGAAGGGTGGCGTGACAAGCCATCCCTAACTTCTCGCTTGTTATTATTTTATTTACTTTATTTAATTATAAATAAAGTTGTAATTAAATAAAAGAAAACAAAGTTGTTGATTAGTTAAATTAAGAGGGAGGTGGCCGTACCTCTCCTCTTGATTACTAATTCCAATTTGTGAAATTTATTTAATTGATAATCAATAATGAGTATTGGTCCTCTTAGGACAAGAATTCATTAGAAAGATTTTCATTGTGACTGGAAAACTAGTTTAGAACTAGTATAAATACATCCTCCTTCTTCATAATTTTAAGACGAGTTTTAGATTCAGTATTACCGGTTTATTTCCTTGAGAAGAGATTTCCTAGCCTTTCTCTAAGGGAGATCTAACCGTTCTTTCGTAAAGGAGAAATCACGTGGATACCTAAGGTCAAGGATTATCACCGCTAGGCTGGAAGATCTGTAAGTACTAACTCAGATCTGTTATTATTGTTATATTCGTTGTTTTGTCATAATCAGAAAAGATTTGTTTGGGAAAATTTTAAACTTCCGTTGCTGTGCTTTCGAGGTACGTTACATCAATTTCCTAACAGGTGAGACATGTCACATTTTTACCGATCATAAGAGCTTGAAGTATGTATTCACTCAGAAAGAGTTGAATATGAGACAAAGGAGATGGATGGAGTTGATCAATGTAGTGGCCGACGTACTGAGCAGGAAGAGTACGTCGGGGACGTTACTCACATGTTTACGAGCATTGAGGGCACACATGGAGGTATCAATGAGTGGTGCGCTCATTGCTAGGTTCGAGGCTAAGCCTACATTGCTGGGGGAGATTAGTAGATGTCAGGCCATTGATGAAGAATGTCAGAAGATCCGTGAACAGATCCTTGAGGGGCTCGTTGAGAACTTTCGGGTATGTGATGACGGTCTTTTGTTGTTTAAAGACCGTGTATGCATACCAAAGAGTGAGGAGCCCCAAAAGTCCATACTAGAGGAGGCTCATTTTTCGGCATATGCTATGCATCCAGGAGGTACTAAAATGTACCAAGACTTGAAGGAAAGTTACTGGTGGTCGGGTGTGAAGAGAGACATCGCAGAATACGTGAGTCGATGCCTTACTTGCCAGCAAGTTAAGGCGGAGCATCAGCACCTGGCGGGGCTTTTGCAGCCACTTACCATTCCAGAATGGAAGTGGGAGCATGTGACCATGGACTTCGTGGTGGGGCTACCACAAACAGTGAACAACTATGATGCGGTATGGGTAGTGGTTGACAGGCTCACCAAGAGTGCACACTTTTTGCCTATCAACATTACTTATCCTCTTGAAAGATTGGCCAATCTATACACGGAGGAGATTGTGAGATTTCATGGAGTTCTGATATCCATTGTCTCGGATAGGGATCCACGATTCACATCCCGATTCTGGCCAAAGTTTCAAGCATCTTTGGGTACTAAGCTGAAGTTTAGCACAACTTTTCACCCACTGACGGATGGGCAATCCGAAAGGGTGATACAGATTTTAGAAGATATGCTTAGGGCATGTGCTCTGGAGTTCCAAGGAAGTTGGGACAAGCATTTGGCTCTAGTTGAGTTTGCCTATAACAACAGTTATCAGGCGAGTATTGGCATGCCTCCATATGAAGCATTATATGGGAGGAAATGCAGGACACTGTTGTGTTTGTACGAGATTGGCGAGGCCAAACTCGAAAAGATTGAACTTGTTGAAATCACCAAGGCTAAGGTGAAGATCATTCAGGATAGACTCAAGACTGCCCAAGACCGGCAGAAGAGTTATGCCGACAAACGACGAAGGCCGTTGGAGTTCGAAGTCGGTGATAAGGTCTTCCTAAGGATTTCTCCTTGGAAGGGTATCATCTGATTTATATCGAGGGGAAAACTTAACACCCGATACATTGGTCCATTTGAAATCCTTGAAAGGATAGGGGTCATGGCATACCATCTCAAGTTGACGCCAGAACTTGAGAAGATACACGACGTGTTTCATGTATCAATGCTCAAAAGTACATACGAGACTCATCTCATATACGTGAAGACTTACAATATGCAGTGGAACCGGTGAAGATTGTGGGACAACATGTGAAGAAATTGAGGAACAAGGAGATTCCTATGGTGAAGGTTCTTTAGAGGAGTAATCGAGTCGAAGAAGAAACTTTGGAGACCGAGGTCTCAATGAGGGAGCAATACCCGTTTCTTTTCGATTAGACATGTGGATTTCGGGGACGAAATCCCAAATAACGGGGGGTGAACTTGTAACACCGTCCCCAAATATATTTACTTTTAAGTCAATAATGTATTGAACCTTATGGAATGGTTAATGAATTTACGAAGTTGTGAATTTTTATTAATTCTTTCGCGTGAATAGTAAATTTGCACATGGGACCCACACCGGGAGCGGGGACCACTCGATAATCCCGAAACCACATATTTTACTCATCTTGGTCTAGATAATATTCATATGGTGGTGGATACTTCATTTGGGCCATGGAAAGGCCTAGAGTTGACCGATTGGTCAGAAGAGGCCCAAATACCGGTATTGGTAATTTAACAGATAAAAGCCCGAAATTGGAATTCGGAGACTTATAAATTTAAGTTGGGGAATGTGTATTCATTATAAAGTTCATAATGATTAAGAACACATAATATATTTTATTTGACCTGATAAAATAAAATATATTTAAATCAGTCCGAAAAATACAATTTTCAGGGCCAATTGTACACTTTGGGACAAATTAGGATGACCTCCCACATGGGTGGGGGCCACCCCACGAATTTAGAAACCAATGAGGACTGATGGGATTCAAAAGTTGGCTGAAAGGGGTAAAGGGATAGGGGGGACATCTATGACATTCAAAGGGGCCCTTTTCTTCCATTCATTACCCAAAATGAGACAAACGGAGTACCCCACTCATCCCCTTCTCACCAGCTCGTCCAGCACCAAATAAAGGAGGAAAAGATGCTCTGAAACTTCATCTTTCATAGCCAAACTCGTGCCAAGCTCAAACAAAAAAAGAAGAAAGAAGTTTAAGGAAGAAAAAGTTAGGAAAAGTGTGAAGAATTAAGGTAAAGACCTTATAATAATTTTTACTCTTTTTTTTTACTATCATATGACTCATATAACATATGAGGAACCCTCGTTATGGTTCTACATAGTTACATATGTAGAAAGATGCGTTGGAAAGTGATTCAAGTCCAAGAACAGACTTATAGTCAAAGTTTCGCCGGAAAATAACCTTTTAGAGGTTATTTGTATTGATTGAGGTTTTATGATGTTAAAACCTTGTTAGGAACTTGATTAAGGTATTTCAAGGTCTTTCACAAAGTTGAAAGAGTCGCCGGAGTTGTCGCCGGAGTTCGTCAAAAGTCGTTGGAGTTTCGCCGGAGTTCAACCAAGAGGGGTAAAACTTCATAGCGTTAAATCGAGGTGAGGATGACCGGCTATATTGCTTATAATTATTGGGTTAATTTTATAAGATTAACTAAGTGAATTAAAAGTGATTTGCATGGATTATTAGTGATTATTAATGCCTAAGTGAAATTACTATTGTTTATAAATAGAGAAATGCATAATATACAAATTTATGAATAAATTGTGTATGATTATGTGTTATAAATGTGATGGCATGATGGTTGTTTTAACCATAAATATTATTGTGATTAATGTACTTTTACTTCATGTAAAGAAGTCATGAGAGGATAAAAGTGACATTTTGATATTAAAGTCAAATTATACTTGGATGAGGAATTAAATTGAAAAGAACAAATGACTATGAATTAAGAATTTGGTTGTACTAAGGTCAAATGACTGGTATTGAAATACTAGTCGGAGATGTTAGTTCGAATGATTGTTGGAAATAATCCTAAGAGATTTAATTGTGATGAATACGCTCAAAATAGCCCTAAGAGATATTCTTAAGTGGGACTTTGTGAACTCTAAATTACATTAGGAGTAGGCCTTAAGAGTTACTCAAAATGAATGGAGCCTAGGTTACGAAGTTGGCTAGAGATTAGATAACGTGACAATGAGCCGAGCTCTAGCACAGTATAGTATGACTATGAGCCGAGCTCTAGCAAAGTGTAGTATGACTATGAGCCGAGCTCTAGCAAAATGGAGTATGACTATGAGCCGAGCTCTAGTACAATGTAGTATGACTATGAGCCGAGCTCTAGCACAATGTAGTATGACTATGAGCCGAGCTCTTGCAATTAGTAGTATGACTATGAGCCGAGCTCTAGCAGAATTGTAGTATGACTATGAGCCGAGCTCTAGTATGAAAGAACGTCGGTTAACTATAATACAATAACACCCTAGATTGAGGGTCTTGAAAATTGAAACATTGATTATACTTAGTATAGTTGTCATTGTACTTTTCAAATGCTTCAAAGTACTGACCTCCCCTTCACGGGGAAGGCCACCTCACAGTTTCAGGTAGAACTTGAAGGTTGTTACTACCGTTGTTGCTTCAGGAAGATTTAGAGAAGAAGACTTGGTTCGTGCTTCTTCCGTTCCTATTTTAAAAATAATATGAATCATGCTCATAGATATTATTTTCTGAATATTGATTTTGGGGCTTGTATGCCCATGTTTGCCAAGTGTGGCTTGAACACTTGTAATGTTGTTTCCGCTGCTTTAAAGAATGATTTACATTATGCTTGTTTATGTATGTACTACGTGTGAATGATATTCCAGATGCCTTGTATGGTATGAACGTGTTGGACTGCGGTTGACTGTTCGTACTGTACGGCGGGTTGTTGACGTGTCCGGTAAGTCCGGGACGTGACAGCTTTTGTGTGTTCAGAAAACAGTTTATGTGCCTGTAATGGCCAGATTTTTAGGCTGTAAATGCAGGAACTTCAAGGGCATATTAAGCCTATGAATGGACATCAAGTTGAAGTTGTAATTGCAGGAATGTATATGTCATATTTTAAGCAGTAAATGCAGCAAGTTGAAGGGTATATTAAGGCTCCCTATGCAGCAACTTTTAGCTCTAAATGCAGCAAGTTAAAGGACATATTAAGCCTATAAATGCACAACATGTTTAAACTATAATTGCAGGAAGATACATGTTAGACTTTAAGCTTTAAATGCAGCAACTTCAAGCCCATATTAAGGCTCCAAATGCAGCAAGTTTTAGCTGTAAATGCAGCAAATTAAAGGGCATATTAATCCTATTAATGGACAACATGTTTATGCAGCAACTTAAAGGATCCAAATGCAGCAACTTAAAACTTTAAACGCAACAACATATAGTTCTGCTTTGATGCTGTAAACTCGGCTACAAAGGCCACATTTTAACATGTTACATGTCAGATTAAGGTCAGAAACTGCAGCTCTCCCCATCTTCCAGCAAAACATAGCTATCACACATTTTTTTCTATGCAAAACAGCAACACCATTTAGCCATATAAAGTCAAGACATCTGCATAAAAAAGAAAATCAACTTCACATTTCTATCACACATTGACACTTATGTAAAAAAAGCATTCAAATTTAAACATTAAAAATTAACATAATATCTTAAATTAACATAACATCCTAAATTAATATAAATCCGCAATTTACTTCATCCTCTGGTACACAGCGCTAAGTATCCTACAATTAGAAGTACAATACACCATAGTTTAGTGCCTTGTTTGTACGATACAGGTTATCATAGTAATGACTACCATAACAAACACCATTACAATAGTAGTCAAAGATATATGGTTCCTCCTTTCTTCAATTTCAGATTGCAAAGAAACTTTTAACTCAATATTTTCACGGCGAGCACATATCATTTCATCTCGTAATTCAAAAGCCAGATTTGAAAGCTCCTTCAAGCTCATTTGTGAAGCTTTTGTTTTTATTCCACTTTCTTCTTTCCAAGCAAAGAATTTGCATCCCAGTCCATCCTACACCAATTTATAAAATCAAAACATCAGGGCATGTAATGCATAATTTATCCCAAAAATACATTCTTTTCAGAACACAAGTACTTCCCATAATAATAAATCGAATTTCAACAATTTATTTAGAAATTCCTATTCGATTACAAAAATAAGTAATTAAATAATAATAAATTCATATTCAATTTATTTAGAAATTCAATTTATTTAGAAATTAAGAACATCAAGGGATGAAAGTGATTAAAAAAACTCATATCAGTAATTCAGACTCACTTACCTTCCATCCCTTGTCACACAGAAAGGAGCCTTTAATTGAGAATTACAAAAAACACCTCGTTCGTAGTGCAGATTAGGAGGAACTTCGAACTTGAGGTGAATGAGGCCAAAGACATCTGCGGATGAATAATTTTAGCTAACCGATGAACCCTAGTTCTAAGAGCTCTGCGATGGAGATGAACAAAGTACGTAGTTAGCAAGAATAAGGTAGTGAAGTTGTTTATTAAAGATAAGTATGATTCTACGATGGAGATGAACAACGTACATATGACCTGGTTGACGTGGTAAAGAAAGACAGGTGTGGCAACAAATGGAGCCACACCAGCAGTAACCAGGATCAACAGGTTACTAGGAGGTTGTTAGAACTCATGTCATTCTTTGTTAAAAGTAAAGGTATTTTTTGAACACTTTTTTAGTATATAACTTTATGGGATAGTTTCAGTATAGTATATGTCCTTATTTGACCCTTTTTCCTTTAATAATAAACAAAACTGAAATACGAAGTAGTATATATACATACATATGGAAAATTGATAAAATGAAAACTAAAAAAGATAGATATGTAATGTACGACTAATGGTGGATGGCATGATCTATCTATGTATCTATCTATCTAGGGCTGCGAGTGGAACACGGTGGGGTGCGCTCCGGCGGGTGGAGTCCGTCTATTAGCGAAGTTAAAATGTTGATGTTGTTGCGTCGGGCTATCTGGCGGCGTCGCTAACGGGTCACCTTGGAATCCCATCCCCACATACTGCTGCACCACCAGAACGGACACAGTGGACGCGAAGTCCGAGGACGCAAGTAAATCCCCGATGGCGCCCAGCTCCGGGCACTCACTCCAGTCGGTTAAGCCCGCAGTCAATGGAGACACGCTACCCTGCCCTCTTCCCACTATGAACAAATCATGCACATTGTTGTCAATGGACCGAATGGCGGCCACCGTTTCCTCCCCATGGTTCACCACCACCTCCGTGTACGCAACCGTCTCGTCATTCGCCGTCCTCATCCGGAACTGCTTTACACACTCCTCGTCCACTTGCTTCTCCTTATCGGCAGGATCTGTGACCACAGTTAGCACCGCGGCGGAGGAGGAGTTAATATCCACTGCCCCACTCTCTCCTGATGTGGCGGGAAGAAACCGCATCACAGTGAGACTAATCCCCGGGTGCTCACTCATTCTCATCCCGTAAGCCAATGCCTCACGATCATCCGGGCCCCCGAAGAATAAAACGGCGATATGGTGTGAAGCCTGCAGGGGAGAGGCTAACCTGGTGGAGCCGCTAAAGCCGCGGTCGACGAGGATTCCGACGGAGCAAGGAGCATTGGCGAGGACGTTCTGGTTGATGGTACGGAAGGCAGGATTTGTGGACTCCATGCCTCCATCCACGGTTTGTTGCTTGTGGAAGGGGATGATCACAATGGCAACCCGTTTGTCCTCGGCGAACCCACAGATGTCTTCGTGCATGGTGGAGTAGGGGGAGATGACAGTGAGGGGCTGCACCGACACGCAACCCGCGTGCTGCTCGAAGTTCTCGAAGGCGTTGATGATGTGGTCGGACTGAGCTTGGGTGCGGTTCAGGGCGGGCCGCCCCGATTTGCGAGTGTTGTGCACGATGAGCATGGCGGAGGCCCGCCCCGTGAGTTCCACCAGGTGGCACACGTAGACGCATATTGGGGACTTCTTGGTGGGGTGGGAGGCCTCCAAAAGGTTGATGATGGTTGGGACGTTCCTCGGGGTGTGGATGCAAACCAACACCCTGAATTCGCTGTCCGCCTTTGTCTTCTCCACACTTCTTCTTTTGTACGGCACGAACTTTCTCGCGGGCTTGTAGATCGTTGTCACCACCGGACTGATTATGGCTGTCATCAGCACTGCCACCACTATCATGATTGCGAAGGACTCCGTGTCCAACACCTTTTGGTCCTTGCCCACGTTCAGCACGATCATCTCAATCAGGCCCTTGGCATTCATGAGCAGCCCGAGCGTGAGGCCTTCATTGAATGCCATTTTGTAGTAGAGTGCCACCAGAAGCGTCCCAGCCACTTTCCCCACACAAGCAAGCACAATCACCACTCCCAAAATGGACCACGTCCCCACTCCTTTTATGGCCCCTATCTCCGTCTTCAACCCGCTGCTCGCGAAGAAGAGCGGCAGAAGAAGCCCCGACACGAAATCCTCCAACCGCTCAATCAGGGTTACGCCAAGCGATCCGTTTGGAATCACCAGTCCGAACACAAACGCGCCAAACACAGAGTGTGTCCCAATAGCATCCGTGATGAACCCGGATATCATCACCCCCGTAAGGATGAGGCATATGTAGAAATCGCTGATTGGCTCCCCTTCAGGTGTTTGCCTCACCACCCACTCTATGAATGGCCTCACTACGTATACACACACGCACACAAAGGCCACGCTCGAGAGTAGAACCCAAATGGAAGCCAGCGTCATGGTCTCGTTTTCGGCTAAGGCGATGGTGAAAGCCAACAATATCCATGCGCACACATCATTGATGAGCGCCGCGGACATGGCGATCTTCCCAATCTCCGTGTTGAGCAGCTTGAGCTCTGCGAGTATGCGAGCAAGGACAGGGAAGGCGGTGATGGAGAGGGCAACGCCGAGGAAGAGGATGAATGTTCCTTGTTTCATGACTTGGGAGCCGCGGTGCAATGTGAAGGAGAAGGAGACGCCGATGAGGAAGGGGAGGACCATGCCCGATATGGCAATGGCCAGGGCCTTTTTCCCGGTGCGGCGAATCACGCTGAGGTCCATCTCTAACCCCACGAGGAAGAGGAAGTAGAGAAGCCCCAAGTTGGCCATCGTCTCAAGAACCATGACACTTCTTAGGGGGAAAACTGTCAAGGCAAATGTCTGGCTTCTTCCTAGCACAGATGGACCTAATATGATACCGCCCTGCAACCAGCAGCATGTATATTATATTATATATAAGAAACAATAAGTAAATTAATCAATTAAACACGAATACCATATAATCCAAAAAAATGTATTTAATAACTTACGAGAATTTCAGCAATGACGCGAGGCTGGCGAAAGGGTTTCAAGATGAAAACCAGAAGGCGGGTGGTGACAACAACCAAAGTCAACTGAAGGATGAAGAGAGGGAGGGAATAATCCAAAGGGTTGTCGCCCTGCCATATACCATGCGTCGTGATCATCGTCGGCGCGTAACATACTATCGTCTCCTCCGTCCTATTCCCCTGCGACACCACTATGTCCGTCATGCTTTTTGATGGATGATCTTTTCTTTAATGCGCATCTATCTACCTATATATTCCACCCCCAGGCCACTTCTATAACAACGAACATGCATTTCTATTGTCAGAGAACCGGCCAAAACTTCACAAAGACAGGGAGCGAGCGAGAGTGAGACGGAATTGAAATTTTGTTATTTTCTTGTGGTGGATGTGGATCCACCCTTTTGGTTGTTGTATATTCTGTGGCCAAAACTTCACTACCAAAATAATCTCAAGTTACCTACTTTATTTCCATTTGTCACACCACTTGTAAACAAATCAAATCGAGTCGAATAGTGGGATTTTATATTTGTATTTGTTTAATTTTTTCGAATACGAATTCGAATTCAAATATGAAACGAATATTAATTTTGATTTGTATTTGTATTTGTTTAACAATACGAATAGTTAACGAATCTTACACGAATATCGAATCGACTTGAGCATAGGTTAAATATTAGTCAAATATCACTTTAAAATAACTTTTCTTATATTTTTTATGTTGTAAATGCCCACATGCTATGACTTAATATGTGTTTTTAGAATTTAAATTTAACTGATCAATGCATTTTTAGATTATGCACAATATACTAAAGTGAATCAATTTTATGATTAATAAATATAAATCTATTGCAAACTTTTTGAAATAAACACTAACACACACATATTACAAATTATACTTATAATGTGAGAAATAAGTTGATAATTGATGTATATATCAAAGTCAAACAACTCTAATTTTATTCTCCAATTGAATAATTAATTATTTGTATTGTATTTGAAAGACATTTGAACCAAAAATTTGATTTGCATTCGTATTTATATTCCAATTTATTACAAATGAGCATGGAATCTATATGTATAAATGTGTGTGTCTATATATATATATATATATATATATATATATATATATATATATATATATATATATATATATATATATATATATATATATATATATATATAGGGGTGAGATCACATACAAACTAGTCTTCTCATGCTAACCTACAAACTGTCACAAACTGTGCATCTTTACATTATTTGTACTGCATATTGAAGTTCAAAGTGTTGCATATTATTTGTACTGCATATTAAAGTTCAAAGTGCTGCATATTATTTGTAATGCCATATTGAAATTCACAGTCTGCATCTTTACATTATTTGTACTGCATATTGAAGTTCAAAGTGTTGCATATTATTGAGTTTATAGGTTAGTATTTTAAGCATGGTTTGTATTTGATCTCTTACCTATATATATATATATATATATATTTGAAGACCTTCCCGATTGAGTTTTTGGCTTAAATTTTTTTTGAAGACCTTCCCGATTGAGTTTTTGGCTTAAATTTTTTGTGGATAAACTAGACTTGATGGAGAACATGTCATAAAAATTTCATCGTTATGCAACACGTATTTCTTTTGGTAAATATAGTGAAAATGTGAAAATGTGCAATATACAAGCTTCATTATGCAACACGTAATTATTTGCCAAAACACCATTACTTGTTCCACAATGAAGCTTGTATATTGCACATTTTTACTATATTTACCAAAATGCCACCGTGTTTATTTAATATAGGCTTAATTCGCAAATTGAAAACGTGCAACAGAATAGCTCCATTGTACACCACATTGATTTAAATGCGAATGTTCTCACGTTCTCACGTTAAACATCGTTCTCACTGGAACCGCTCTCTCTCTCTCTCTCTCTCTCTCTCTCTATATATATATATATATATATATATATATATATAGGGGATGGTTCAAATACAAAGAGGTCTTCTCATTCAAAGTTAAAATTAATCTTGTGCATTTATTTTCAGATCTAATGGCTCAAAATGAGCCAAAAATGCACTAAATGTGATCAAAAACGCGGTGATAATTTTGTAAATAAACCAAAGTTTTATGCCATCGCGAAAAAGTGCAACAAAAACATGAAATCGTGCAATGCGGTGAGAAACAAGTGCAATCGTTCGCACTTTGCACGGGAGCACCCCTTTTTATTTGAACCCTCCCATATATTTATTTATTTTATTTATTTTTACTCCAGGGGGCGTTTGGGGGAACCTGTAGTAATCAGGGTTGAAACTCACTCCATTAAGTTTCGAACCCGATATATGTATGTATGTATGTATGTATGAATAGGACTAATTTTTTTATTCCCTAAATAGTACGGAGTATTAAACATTACTTATCTACCCCTAATATAATTAATTAATACTCTATATGTTTAATTGCCCCATCATTCACTTGCATAACCAAGGATAGTTCATTGGCCGCGCCTATTGTGACATAATTTAATTATAATAGTTGTAAATTTATTTATTCACATACATTCGTTCATGTAGATAGTATTGTGTACCTAGTTTATTTTCTTAAGGTTAGCTTGGTAGGTATTAGGTGTGAGAATTAAAGGGAAAGGTACTCCAATAGGAGTCCTGGCATGTATATTTATAATGAAAGAGTTATAAACATACAAGGAAACAAATATGCCTAATATTCTATTACACCCCCTCAAACTGTGCGGGAGATACAACGCGCAGGTTGTCTTTTAAAAAATGAAATTGCTGACTAGAAAGACTTTTTGTAAAAATATCAGCTAATTGAAGTTGTGTAGGGATGTACTTCACGACAAAGTCTCCATGCGCCACACGTTCCCGGGCAAAGTGGTAATCTATCTGGATATGCTTGCTACGAGCATGCTGAACAAGATTAGCAGTCAAATCGGTAGCAGAAATGTTATCACAAAATAACTGAACTGGAACTGTTGCAGGAAAACCAAGCTCAAAGAGGATGGAACGAATATGCAATGTATCCTGAACAGTATAAGCAACAGCACGATATTCTGCTTCTGTAGAGGACTTGGACACGGTAGGCTGCTTTTTGGATTTCCGCGAAACAAGATTTGGACCCATGAACACTGCAAAACCAGTCGTGGACCGAGATGTATCTGGACAGCCTGCCCAATCCGCATCTGAATAAGCAATAACACATGTGGCCCTAGTAGTAGGCTAGAGCCATAATCCATGATCAAGTGTGCCCTGCAAGTATCTAAAAATACGCTTGACTGCAAACAGATGAGTAGTACGAGGGGCATGCATAAATTGAGACACTAAATGCACAACATAAGTAATATCAGGTCGTGTCAAAGTTAAATATTGCAATGCACCAACCATACTTCTATACTCAGTGGCATCTGCAAGAAGTTCCCCATCAGTAAGGGATAGAGAAGTACGAGTAGCAAGCGGAGTGCGAACAGACTTAACAGTGTGGAGATGGAAACGAGAGAGAAGATCAGAGACATATTTATGTTGAGAAAGAAACAAACCTTTAGAAGAACATATAGCCTGGACTCCCAAAAAATAGTGAAGATCTCCAAGATCTTTCATAGCAAAATGTTTTGCAACAAATTGAATAAAGGAGGTTATAGCAGCGGAAGAGTTACCAGTAATAATTATGTCATCAACATATAATAATAAATAAATGACATTATTATTCTGGCGGTAAATGAATAAAGAATTATCAGACTTGTTGCACGTAAAATGATGAGACAATAAAAAGCTACTAAAACGATGAAACCATGCACGTGGAGCTTGCTTAAGACCATAAATGGCTTTGCGCAATTTACACAAATGATTGGGAAACAACGGATGAATAAAACCACGTGGCTGACGCATATAAACTTCCTTGGTGAGATGACCATGCAAAAAGGCATTTTTGACATCCAATTGACGAATGACCCACTCAAACAAAACAGCTAATGTAAGGACAATACGAACAGTGGTGGGTTTAATAACTGGACTAAAAGTTTCAGAAAAATCCACACCTGCCTGTTGATTAAAACCTTGAGCAACCAAACGCGCTTTGTGGCGCTCAATGGAACCATCTGATTTATATTTGGTCTTATAAATCCACTTAGAGCCCACAACATTTTTAGTATGATCAAAAGGCACTAAATCCCACGTATTATTAGAAATAAGAGCATTAAATTCCTCAGCCATTGCCGCACGCCAAATTAAATGTTTATTAGCCTTAGAAAAAACATGTAGGATCAGCTGATAATACAACAGTGTTTAAATTAAAAATTTGTTTGGGTTTGAAAATTCCCGACTTCGCCCTCGTCTACATGGGATGAATATTAAGGACTGGGGCAGGACTAATATGCGGCTGAGGCGTGACAGCCGTGGTTGTGGGAGATGCGGGTGAGGTAGGCATTCGGGTGGGCATAGGTGGTGTTGAGGAAGGAGAGGGTGAAGGATCATGTACTGTTATAGTGGAGGGCAGTGAGGTCGGAGAAGGGCATTGTTCGGCAGGGGAAGGAGAAGGGGAAGGGGGTGGTTGGCTGGAATTGCCGATCACGGCCGGGACAGGGGGCTGGGGAATTGTAGTGGGATAAGGGTTAATATTGGGCGAGTAGGGAAGTTCTAGTGGGTTCGAGGTGGTGTGGGTAAAAGGGAGATCAGGAGCCAGAGGCATGGATGACGAGGAAGAGGCATTCGTAGAAGAAGACAATGCGGCATAGGGAAAAATATTTTCATGAAAGCGAACATGTCTACTGATAAAAACTTTACCAGATTTAGGTTCAAAACAACGATATCCTTTAAAACCAGATGCATAGCCAAGAAAAACACATTGTATGGAGCGCGGAGAAAGTTTATGGAGGGAGAGGCAGAAAAATTGGGGTAGCAGGAACATCCAAAAACTCCTAAAAAACTATAGTTAGGAGGTTTTTGAAAAAGAATATCGTAGGGAGAAACACCATTAAGTGACGGAGTAGGAAGTCTATTAATAATATATGCAGCTGTAAAAATAGCATCAACCCAAAATGTGCTAGGAATAGAAGCAGTAATGAGCATAGTTCTAGCAAATTCCAAAAGATGACGATGTTTGCGTTCAGCAACACCGTTTTGTTGAGGAGTATGTGGGCAAGATTTTTGAAAATAAATGTCATGTTCATCAAAAAATGCTGCATATTAGAATTAACAAACTCACCCCCTCCATCACTTTGAAAAATTTTAATTTTAGAGTGAAACATATTTTCAACTAAAACTTTAAATAAACGAAACTGAGTAAAAACTTCACTTTTATGGCGTAAGGGATATATCCA